GAGGGACTGGGAGGCACTGGGACTGAGATCTGAGGGCACTGGGAGCAACTGGGAGGGACTGGGACGGAGATTTGGGGCACTGGGAGCACTGTGATGGAGATCTGGAGGCACTGGGAGAGACTGGGAGGGACTGGGAGGGAGATTTGGGGGCACTGGGGGCAACTGGGAGCACTGGGAGGGGATTTGGGAGCACTGGGAACCCTGCTGGATCATACTGGGAGCACTGGGACCCCCTCATTTCCATACTGGAACCCTCTGGTTCCAAACTGGGAGCACTGGGAACCCCCCAGTTCCAAACTGGGAGCACTGGAACCTGCCCGGTTCCAAACTGGGAGCACTGGGAACCCTGCTGGACCCAAACTGGGAGCACTGGGAACCCCCCAGTTCCAAACTGGGAGCACTGGGACCCCCTCATTTCCATAGTGGAACCCTCCGGTTCCAAACTGGGAGCACTGGGACCCCCCCAGTTCCAAACTGGGAGCACTGGGACCCCCTCATTTCCATACTGGAACCCTCCGGTTCCAAACTGGGAGCACTGGGAACCCCCCCAGTTCCAAACTGGGAGCACTGGGACCCCCCCAGTTCCAAACTGGGACCCCCCATTCCCGACCCAGTTTCCTCCCAGTCCCTCCCAGTTTAATCCCTTCCCAAATCCCCAAATCCCAAACTGGGATTAACTGGGATTAACTGGGCGGAGCCCTCTAAACCCCCTAATTTGCATAAAGCGCCGCCCGTTTGCGTTCGTCGCGTCGTTTCGGGTGCTAATCTGCATAAATTTGCATAAATTAACAGAAATACCGGTACCAAGATGAGGACAGCCCCCCCCTGGAGCAGAGCCCCGCCCACCTGCCCAGCCAGGTAAGGCCACGCCCATGCCCATATATGGCAAAGCCACACCCCCTTCTAGATGCCATGCCCATATATGGCAAGGCCACACCCCCTTATAGACACCATGCCCATATATGGGTGTGGACATGCCCCCCTTTAAGCCACACCCTCTTTGGCTTAGCTGTGTCCATATATGGACAGGCCACGCCCCCTTGAAAGGCCACGCCCTCTTTCAGGCACTCCATGCCCAAATATGGACAGGCCACGCCCCTTCAGCCACAGGATATCCATATATGGGCATGCCATGCCCCTTTCAGGCTCCCCAATGCCCAAATATGGACAGGCCACGCCCCCTCAGACACAAGATATCCATATATGGACAGGCCACGCCCCCTTTTCAGGTACCCAGTGCCCAAATATGGACAGGCCACGCCCCCTTTAGACACCACACCCATTTTGGGCCAGCAGACATGCCCATATATGGGTGTGGGCACGCCCCTTTTAAGCCACACCCTCTTGTGGCCCAGAGGTGTCCATATATGGGCAGGCCACGCCCCTTCAGACACCAAGTGTCCATATATGGACTGGCCACGCCCCCTTTTCAGGTACCCAGTGCCCAAATATGGACAGGCCACGCCCCCTTTAGACACCACACCCATTTTGGGCCAGCAGACATGCCCATATATGGGTGTGGGCACGCCCCTTTTAAGCCACGCCCTCTTGTGGCTCAGCGGTGTCCATATATGGACAGGCCACGCCCCTTCTGGCACCAAATGTCCATATATGGGCAGGCCACACCCCCTTTCAGGTGCCTGGTGCCCATATATGGGCAGGCCACGCCCCTTCAGACACCAAATGTCCCTATATGGACAGGCCACGCCCCCTTCAGTCACCACATGCCCATATATGGTCAGGCCACGCCCCTTTAGACTTCCCCAATGCCCATATATGGACTTGCCATGGTGGTTTGGGGTGACCACGCCCCCTTGTGAGGGCAGCGGTGACGTCATTGGGGACGTCCGTGACGTCATGCTCGTTTAGTGGTGACATCATCACTGTGACGTCACCAGAGGGCGGGAGCGTTTTGATGATGTCACAAGTGTGGGGTGGTGGTGACGTCATCAATGACGTCATGGGAGCGGGGG